AATGCTCCTTATTGCATGGACTTCATGTTTGGTTGTACATTGTGAAGGTATAGTTTCTAGTATTTCTACCTTCATGTAACCTTGTTCCTACAACACCAATGGATCTGTAATTGTCTAACACTGAAAGAACGAATGAAAGAAATACCACGGCAGTAAAAGCATGCAATAAATTTATTGGATTTGTTTATTTATATGAATTAAAAAGTCAACTCTTATGGTTCTGCTGAGGACACAAATTATTCTATGGTGAAATGTGTATGTATACTTTTTGTGGTTTATACAGACTTGTTATTTGCAGCTGCTGCTATTTCTTTCATCCTGACACAGCAAATGTCTCTCCCTAGCAGATTTCTTTATCCCATGCTTATGTTCCTTATTGAAGTGGTTTGTGTGAAAACAAAGATCAAGACCGAAACAGGAAGGTATGAAGACTCATGAGTGCAGTATGTTGTACCATATCTTGTTATTATGGTCTGTTTGGAGACATATGCATGTAAGCAGCAAAATGTAGTAACAGCTGAATTGGCCAGCATCTCACTCACACCTAAGAGTAATTGTGCTAAAAGTATCTAAAGTATCTAAGGATGCCTGAGGGAAAGTAAAAATAACAAACAATTAAAATGTTTGTTGTGAGTTGGGAAATTATACCTACTGATCTGAATAGCTCCCTTTCAAGCTGATCTCAAACTTGGGGCTGCTTTCTCTAAACAGTTGGGGAACTATGGGTCACAGCATCTGTTACCATATAGAGTCTCAGCTGAGCATGCTGTTTCCCTCTGTTCCTTTCCTTTGCCAAAAGGAAGAGTAATGACTGAATGCTAAGCATAGATCTAGCTGGCAAAATGGAAATTCTGTTCTAAAGTATGCTTGATGAATCTTGATTCCAGTCAAAATTGGAACAACAAAGGAAAATATAACGTGAAAAGAAGAGCTGCTCTAATATGGTGAAATGTTTCATTTTGATACAGACTTGCTTTGCCAGAGAAGCCCAGGAAAACTGAAGAAGAAAGTGTAGCATTTCTTTGCCATATCTTAACAGTGTACAAGTAAGTAAAAATATTTTCTTTAGATTTCTTGCCTTTATTCTTACACATAAACTGGCACATTTTGGTAAAACATACAGATTTGGATTACTCTTATTTGCTGAATTTAAAAATTTCTGTAAAAAAAACCCAAATACTAATCTCATAACAAAAGCCTGATATGCTCTGAGTAGATCATCAGAATAATTTAAATGGATCCTCAGCTTTGGGCCAAATTCTGCCTGCAAAAGAAATCTTATAATATAGAGCTGTAAAGCTGGAATCTACAGGACCCTTACAGCACTGTGCCTATCTGCAGGCATCACAGCCCTACTGAGACACAACTCTTAATCTGCCTGACAAGATAGGAGGCAGAGGTCTTGTCTGGAGAAAGGGTAGAACACAAAAAAAGAGACAGAGCTACAGGGACAATTGGAACAGATAAGAAACCACCAGCCAAGTAGATCGAAATTGTCAGTGGTTGCCCAACAAGGAGGCCTAATATGCAGGTCTGTTTATGCATGTAAGGAAGGCAGGCCAATACATCTTTAATTCAGGTTTTATAAGCATAGCACCTAAAAAATGTTTCTGTGATATCTGTAGCAAATACTTACCTAGAAATCTGAAGTGTCTTTTTCTCCAGAGCTAGCAGAAATTGTTGAAGAGTCCTCTCATAATTTTGACTTACAGGGAAAGTACTACTTACAAGATAAAGTATTTATATTATTCTATTTGGTTGGAAAATAAAGAATGTAATATTTGCTGTACGTAGAGTAAACAACAATAAACAAAGCAATATTTTTGAAGTGAAAAATTGCTTGAACTTCGAAATGTTTTGACAAGCAGCCACAATTGACAGCTCAAGAGCAAGCAGGAACATACAGCATGTTTGTGTTCAGTGAGCTAAACAGCTGGAGGGTCTGGAGCTGCAATGCACAAACTACACTTAGCAACTGTCCAACTCTTCTGTCTCAGCAGCTATCGATCATTTTGCCACTAGCTAATCATCTTGCCACTGACCAGGACTTCCTGCAGTGTACTTAACAGTGCAGCAGTTATACCACTGTGAACTGAGAGCAAGGTGGAAAAAGAAAAAAGGAAAGGAAAAAAAAGGAAGTGGGAAGAGGGAAGAGGGAAAAGGGAAGAGGGAATTGGGAAGGAGGAAGGGGGAAGAGGGAAAGGGAAGAGGAGGGGAGGGGAGGGGAATAGGAATAGGAATAGGAATAGGAATAGGAATAGGAATAGGAATAGGAATAGGAATAGGAATAGGAATGGGAATGGGAATGGGAATGGGAATGGGAGGGAAGGGAATGGGAATGGAAGGCAAGGCAAGGCAAGGCAAGGCAAGGCGTAGTCAACTATTTTCTGTAACCTTCATAAATGATTTGTGAGCTTTCTTAATAGTACTGTTTTTATTCATTTCAATTTAGCAGTCAAACACCATATGGAATTGAATAATCAAAGATTTCATTTAAAGATGTTGAGATTAAATATCTTGAAACTTTTTTTTTTTTTTTTCTGTTTGTCCCTGAAACAGACTTATCCTTTTTTTAGGGATCCATATCAGCTATGTATTCCATTTATATATGTGTGTGTTCCTCATATAATATGAGGAATGTGGCCATAACTGATTATCAGCTTACTCCACCTCCTTGAAGTGACATCCATAGACTGATGGATTTCCAGCTGGTAACCAAGAAGCTTGAGTTGTAAAGATAAAGTTCCATGGAGAATTTTGTCGTTAATTTTCCATGTCCTTCATCTGCACCAGATGACATAGCAGAGTGGGTGCCTCGTACTCTGATTCTGCAAGGAAAGAAACAGACTGCGGCAAAATCGGGAGCGCGGTGTGAATCAGTCACAGCGCAGAGCAGAACAAATTTTGTCCCAGAGGCAGTGGCGCTCCTCTGTCTGTGGTGCTGATGCAGAGCCTGCGTCCGCGTCCTTCCGCTGACCGGATAAACACTGCTGTTTCTGCGGTTTGTTCTCGTCCACTGAACATACTATCAAACTGCACTACTGCCAGCTTCACATTCATAAAAAGTTATGGCCGTGGAATATGCCATCAGAAAGAAAATACATGGAGCACTGCTCTTATCACTGCTATGGCTGGGCAAGCTGTTATTTATACTATAGCGAAAGTCATGCATCTCTGATAAACCACATATCAGATCCCCCAAAGTCCACTCAGAATACTGAGGGAAAGTTGTGTCAGGCCTACTCTGTTCCATTTCAGAAGCAAAAGTGTTCTCCAGAATTCTTTCTGAATCCATTAGGCAAAGTTCTATGAACTACATCACCTCCTTTTTACTATGCCCTTCCTTGTCTCAGTGTTTGAAACCTGTGTAGTGATGGTGAGAGTATTGGTGGGATCTTTCCTGACTGCTAGGTTAGAGTGCCTTCTGAACAGAAGACACCAAAATCAGGCTTACAAGCATTTGAGTTTTTGTTGTATAGGTACATCGTGTGAGAGTTGAGAGTTGCATGGAAGCTGATACTTGGGGTAGCAGAGAAATCCTGAAGCTGAGAGTATCTGTGTCTCACTGAGGTTTATAGTCTGGTGACTAGTTCCTATGATGAAAAATGGACTTTGTAGTGGTGGGTGCCATGATTCATGATTCATGGGTTTCTCTGGCAGCTGTATCATCTGGAAAAAGTATGCACAGTTTGGGGACCAGACTACCATAAAGCACCTTTGGAGGTAAGTTAGGGATTAAAGCAAGAGGGATTGTTTACTTGTTTACCCCATCCTTGCTTGTTATTATTTTTTACTTTTCTGAAGACTGTCAGTAAAAGCAAAGCACATCTCTATCCAGCTGAGCTTCCGAGGTTGATATTAGGGTCTGTCTAAGACATGACTTTCTGAGAGCAATCTGGGTCAGACCCAGGTGGGAAGATGCTGTCTTGAGCACTGAAGTATGCTTTGCTGTGCCTGCAGCAGACACCAAGAAGCTACGGTAGCCAGCATCACTGCACTGTAAGCAGGCTCTTAGTCTGCTGTGCCTGCCAGACCTGCTTGCCTTTCCCCGCGAGGCTCTCCCTGACCTTCAGACAAAGTCAACCGGCGAGACTATTTTACCGTGTACTGATCACTCCATCGCGCCACTCCCCCGGCTCGGGCTCCCCCTTCTACCGTCCCCATCCTCCCCCGATCACTTCGGCTTTATAGGGGTTGCACCAACGGTAGAATCCCACCTTTCGGGCTGGTGACAAGAGGCCCGATCCGCTGTAGAACTCATGCCCTCTCCACCCAACCCCGAGAGGGCTGTCGGCATGCCCTGTGCCCGGGGTTGGGTATTACTCTGCCTGGAGCACCGTTCTTTCCTCTTCTTCAAAATCCGTCCCAAACCCGGGATGGACAGCGGACCGCAGCCTTCACGCTCTTCAGCAGGCGACCGCACGGAGGAGGGTCCTTCTCCTCCCCTCCTTGCCCCCGCCCTCCCCCCATCTTCTCTTGGGATACAGATGGATCTGGATAGGGAGGGAACGGAGAGCTCAGCCGGCGATCCCTCCGGCCACGATACAATCCAAGCGGAAGGAGAGGAGAGGACGAGGCACTGCTCCCTCCCTATTTTCTTCGCGGCCTGTAACTCTTTCCAGGACCTAGGGGATGTCCGGGAATGACCCAGAGCAGAAGACGCGGATCGCTCCCACACATTCCCACCTTTTGCAGGAGGGCGTATTTGCAGACATTTCCCTACAGTCCTGAGGATAAGCAAGGAAGCAGTGGCAAAATACAGCAGCGGGCTAATCCCTCCCCTATCTCCGCCAGGCGAAGCGACAGGGATCCGGGCGCACGAAGACAGCGGGGATGGGGCAGGAGTACACACACGGACTCGCGCATCCGTCCGCGGGGCTGGCAGCGCCGGGGACCTTCTCCGCGGCGAGCGCCGAGGGGCGAGGGCGGTGCGGGGAAGGGGCGGGGGAGCGGGAAGCAGGGGGAGGGCGAGAGCCCGGCTTCTGCAGCGGGGGGAGGAGGAAGGAGGGACCGTGTAGGTGGGATGGTCCGGAAATCCCGTGATAAAAAGAGGAGCGCGGGGGAAAAGTAGGGAGAAGCTCCGGAGTCATTCGCTCTCCTCCACTCCTCGTCCGCAACTTGCCCGCTGGCACATGGGCGCCAGACGGAGCCGCTAGCGGCGGAACGACCCGCAGCACCTGTCCGCCACCGCACAGCGCCCGCGTAGCCAGCGAGGTACAGGCGCGGGGCGGGACGGAGGGTGCCGTGTTGTGCCGTGCCGAAGGGTTGCGTGCTGGCAGCGTGAGGGAGAGCAGAGAGGAGAGGCGGCTGTGGGCACGCGGCGGTCGGTGCAGCCCTCATGGCACCGGGGAGCTAGCGCCGGGACCAGCGGAGGGAGGCAGCTGGCTGCGCGGAGGGGATACCGCTCTGCACCCGCCGTCGGTCGGTCCCCAGCTTCGGCAGGGCATCTCCCAGGGAGATTCTGGCGATGCGCTGGGATCCCCGGCGGAGAAGTGTCGCAGACCCGCGTTCCACCGCCACGGCTGCATCCCCGCCGCGCGTCTTACCCTCTCGCCCTGCCAGGCACACGCGGAGCGTTTCACCTTCAAATGCCCCCTCCGGAAAGCCAGGTGGCGGGAGGTGCGGGCGGGGAAGAGGGAAAGTTTGGAGCTTTAACGCTTTCTCTTCCGGCTGCCTGCGGGCGCGCTACCGGCCACCCGGCCTCTCGGGCCACCGCCGCTCCCCTGCCCTCTTGCCTTCACCCCCGCACTGCTTGGCATTTCCCTGCCTTGTCCTGTAGAGCCGGAGTCCGAGGGACGGCGGCTGGAAACTTGGCAGGGGAGAAGGGCGGGGGGGAAGGAAGGAGCAAAGAGCCGCCGTTTTTCCTCCGGGAGAAACCGCTCTTCTCGTGTCTGTGCCCTCCCCGCAGGCTGCCCGCCGCCGATTGCCGGACTCTGTGCATGCGAGGTGTGAAGCTGGGCTGCGCCCCTGAGCCATCGTCATGGATTTTGTGATGAAGCAAGCTTTAGGAGGTAAGTACGGCCGGCGCGTGGGGGGGTCGCATCGTCCTTTCCCCCTCGGTATAAGACATGATGGACCGCTGGGAGCCTCCGGTGGGGCTGTGACCGGGAGAACTATTTGGTGGCTGCAGAGGGACATGCCAGCCAGATTCGTGATCCCAGAGCAAAGTGCTGGAAGAATCTGAGCAGGAGAGGGCAGCAACAAGCAGACACCGAAGCCTCAAGGCAGATGTGCTGAAAGTACCTGGGCGGTGCTGGGAACCTACCAGCTGTGTCCTGCTGTACCACGCATACCTGCTGTCTTGCTTTGTGAGGCAGCAGTGGCAAGGACAGCAGGCAGATTTAATCAGAGGACTCCCAAAGAGTGACGTCTGCCTTTGTGAGGGAGCTTCTCCTCCATCCTTCCCCTGAACTTTGGGAAGACACTGACCAATAGCCACTGCAGAGAAATTTGGTTTCTGTGACCTAGCATTTGAGAAGTGATGTTTGTTAATAATATTGCTGCAATAAAAAATAAAGTATTCCCAGGAAAAATAAGGTATTCCCTCACAACCAATGTAGTTATGGGACAGATCTTTAATATGGTTTTAATATATTTCCTTCCATGTGTGATGACTCGCTTTAACCTAATGGTGGGAAGAAAAGGCAGCAGTGTGGGGAGAGAAATGGAAAACAATACAATAGTGTTTGGGAGTGAGATTTCTTTTTTCTGCCACAGTTGCATTGCCTTGCTGGTCTGCTTGTCCCAGATGTTCAGACAAAGTGAAATTGTCATTGGGATGATACTGAATACAGGCTGCCAGTGGAAAGTGTTTGGCCCACGAGATGTTTCTGATCATTCTCTCTTTTTTACTGTAACTGATGTAACTGATGTGTCCATTAATTTTCCTTTGGTTAAACTGTAGCCATGGGACTGAGAGGATGTCCCATGCATAGTGTTACTGATACCATATGCTGCAGTACATGGTAGAGACATTTACTGCAGGACAGTTTTCTGTGGCATGGAAATGTGTTTTTCATTTTTGCAAGGGATGAACTGTTTTCTCACAATGGAGCAAAATCTCATAATTAAGGATAGAGTGATATCCCAAGTTTTCACTGTGGTGTTTTGAATGTCAAGGCCAAATATGAAGAAAGGTATCTTCATATCCTGCTATTTTGTGTGATTGAACTAGATCCTATAATGAGAAAATAAATGTTCCTATGGTAGCGGTGTTGCATTTCATCACTGTGCCTGTTTGAAGGACAAATACTCCTGAGGAGAGGAGGTTTTACACAGGTTATCTACACTGTAAGGCTGCTTACATGGAAGGGAACTGGGATCTGCATGGAAAATCCAACCTGTGCAGCTGGAGATCAGATAGCCCACTGAAGAGAAATAACTGCTTGTAGACTGCAGTTAGAGGCAAGGGGTGGAGGGCTGCAGCAGTGGAGTAACAGCTGAGGTGCATGGTCTCACTGTGGGGTAGTGACTAGCTGAAGTAGGGAGCAGTGCGTGCTTGCACCAAATAGCATTTAATCTGGGCAGGCATTCATTCTAACATAATCCTGCATGCCAGGGTCAGGATTTGCATTATAACAGAAGATGATGAGAAGTCAAGTTCAGAAAGGATCTGCTGGTGGAGCCTGAGTATCTCATGTCTCCAGCAAGATGCTGCCCAGGGCGCCAGCTTTTCTGCCAGATGACATAGTATATTAGCAAGCTGTGCCTGGCATTTGCCCCTTGCTGGATAGAGGAGAAGGCTCTGCAGACTAGTAAAAAACAGGAAATGTTCATTCATTATGCAGAGATGTATTTTTAACTTAGAAATGGTTTTGAAGAGGGAGAATAGCTACTTCCAGGGCAGATATATAATAGAGAAAGTTAAGGTGCTTTTGGACACCGTTTTCCCATCCAGTGGTAAAGCCACAACTGATGCAATCATGATCCTTCTGGGAGTTCTCCTGTCTTTGAAGCAATCTCTGAACATGTTTCCTGGGTCTCCAGTGGCATGAGACAATCAGATATGCATTTCCCCGGAGCTTTGCTCATCAGAGGGGTAGAAAACAGGAAGGTGTTTTGGAAAGAGATTGAGGTGAGTTAACAAGAAAGAAAAGGCAGTTATGTTGTGTAGTGTAGGAGTTTGGGAGTCTGTGTGACTCCAGAGGATTGGGGTTATGTGAAATTAGTTTGACAGGTTATTCTGAAGCAGAATATATTCATTCCCTGACTTGTAGTTAAAGGGGGTCTGCAGAAGCTTGCTCTGTCTGTGCAGTGGAGATCTCTCCTCTGTTGTGCTGCCAGCACTGGGATTTTGCTGCTAGTCTTGGCAGCAGTCATTGCCTGGTTGTTAGCAGGCTTGAAATGTCTTTGCAAATTCTTGCCCCTTCAACGTAAAATTCCTGACCCTCTCATCAGCAGTGGGAGCTGTGGTCCAGTAAAGCACTACAAAATATTACCTCACTTGGCCAGCTGGTTTCTATGGCATTTTTATTTTTTTCTCCACTCAGGACATTTCACTGCCCTCTATAGAAAGTCCCCCCTTGTGCTGTTCATGTTGCAGTGCAGGCACCACAGATTTGAAATGCAGTCATGATTCTGATTTGCTGTGTGGGATGACAAGAAGAAAACAACAAGGGGAAACTTGAGAGCTTAAAATCACTGCTTCTGCCAGAGAAGTGCCAATGACAGCAAAAAGATATTTTTACCTTTGCCCATAGCCAGATCCATGCCACACCAACTGATATTGACACAGATGTCTCTCGGTCATTTATCTGTTTCTGTGACAATTCACTAAGTGAATATAACCAGCGTGGTTGCATGATTGCATTTCACATTAGGAGTGTTCTTTAGCAAGACAAATCAGAACTCTGTATCACTGTCATCTTGATTCATAGGCCAAGATGTATGACTTCTCAGGAAAATGTTGGCAGTGAAAGACCTAATACAGTCCCAGGAAGAATATAACTATGGTATTTTTCAATGAACATCACTTACCTTTGCACTGGTTATGTGAAAGTAAGGGATGCTTTAATACCTGACCGCTAGTCACACTGCATTGGCTCACTTCCTCTATGACTGTGGACTGGACAAACAGAGAAAATGGATTGAAGGAGAACAGATGCTAACTCTCATTAAGCTTTGCTTTGCCACCTCCTTTTACTGGAAGTCTTGAGGGTCAAGGGACTTAGGCATTTTCTTAAAGAAAAGAGAAGGGGAAGCCCAAGGAAGAGTGAGGCAGATTTCACAAATATGTGATCACCATACAGGTTGAGAAGCTATGAAGGTAAGGAAATTACACAGCCGCCAGAATAGCTCTTACTCTGCTTTATATGATTGTACTGCTGGCCCCTTTTAGCGTGCTCCTTTTATCAGCAGACAGAAGAAACATGTAACTGCTATGCCTATCCTTAATGGTGACTTCTCCTAATGTCAACCTCTGTATTAGTCACGTAACATATTTCATATCATGATGCATGTAAAGGGTACTGTCTAAATTCTTTCTTCATACTGTCCTAATCCCTTGAATTCACTGTTTAAGCCCCATGAAGGAAAAAGAGCACACTTGTGTTTCTGATTAGAAATTCACTGGGCTGTATTACAGACATTTCAGTTTTACTGGCAGCAGCTTAGAGAGAGGACTACTGCTTAGCATTGAATTCTTTATCCATCAAGATTCAGTGGAAATTTGTTCATAAGGATTCCTAAAATACAGTAGGCAGAAAACAAATGCAAGCAGATCGCCATCTGGAATATGTCAGCAGGTGGGACTGACTGCTTTCTGTCCCCCAGCTGCTGCTTTGGTTCCATTATGTATATCATAGATCTCAGTCAAGCAGAAATCCTCTTGTTCTTGAAGGTAGGCAGAGATTTAAACCCTCCCAAAGATAATGGGATTTAAGTCACTGCCCAAAAGCTCTGAAAAAGCAGGCCCTATGCTATGCTTGTATTAGTAAAGATATGAGTGTGCAAAGGGCAGCTAAGCCTGGATGGAAACTATTGGTGTTTAACAACATCTTAGCAGCTTCTTTCTCTGAAGCTTCTGAAATGCATGCTTTGCTGCTGGACTTTACTAGTTTGTGATAGGCAGATCAAATCCTTGATTTGCCCTGGAGATGTCGATAAGATTGAGCACTGTGAAAGACAACACATATCTGTCCAGGGTGGCACAGAGCATAAAACGGGCACAGTGGTTTCTGTCTTCTCCTCCTCCAACTCAGCTTTTCTCTCACATTTGCAGTTCTCTGCTGAGCCTCTCCTGCTGTGGGACCTCATGCATCACTTAGGATGAGCTCCATTGCTTATGTTAATGTTTGGTCCTGGAATGGGATTGAAATTGCAATGCAGAACTGCAAGTTGTAGCACCTAGACATAGTGCTGGTATTCACAGCTGGGGTCTCCTTTGCCTGTAATCCTTGAGATATGTGACATATGAGGTATATCGTTTTGCTGCCAGATGCTTCCAGGAGAATCTCAGCAGGAGACCTCCACCACACTGTGGCACTTGGTGAGTGCTGGGAGCCCAACTGCCTTTGTTCTCAACTTCTGAATTGTTAAGTGAGCAAATGCATGAGATGAAGGCTGCAACTTCAATCTGTAATGTGCTGTTGATCCACTGTTTTCTAGATCCTTTTTTCTTTGTCTAATGCTTTGACTACATGCATTTTAATGACATTTTGAAGATGAAGAGGTAGCATTGATATCTGATGGATACATTTTTCAGAAGGGATGATATTATTGGATTTTTTTAATGCATACTGCTGGCAAAGATATTTTCTTCAAGGAATTGGATTATGCTGAATGCAATCATGATGTCTCTTGCTGAGATGGGGGCAACAGAAAAACAAAGCAAACATAGATGCTGTATTTGTTTAAGGCCTTTTAATCTATAGCAGATAAGAATCTTCCTTGTTCTCTTTTCTTGGTGCAAGATCCTTCCATGGTAATCTATAGACATTTTTTCTTCAGGAATTCCCATTAAAACCAAGGAGAAAGAAGTTTCTCAAGGAAGCCAATCATTGCCTGTGGAGAT